GCGCGTAAAGGGGAGCAGTGTGTATGTAAAGGGTGTGTGTGTGTGTTCAGAGCCCTCTAGTCCAGCGGGGCTGGGGGTGGAGAAGGGAGGATTTGACCCACTGCTGGTGGGGGTGGCTGGGGACTAGCCCCCTCCCTCCCCCCACTAGGGCTCCACCTTGATGAAGAAGCTGCTGGATTTGCCCCTCCTCTGCCAGGCCGAATTGGGGTGCCCCCAAGGGTGCAGATGTGGGTGGAAGGCGAGGAGTCTCAAGGCACCCTGGGAGATGTGGCGCCCACCTAACCCCCCCTTTGCAACAGGAGGCAGGTGGCAGTGGCGCACAGGTTTGTGCCACGCGCAGGAGGGGGATTGGGCGCAGAGCCCAGGAGTGTGGCCTGGTGGTCAGAGCAGGTTGTGAGGAGCCAGGACACCTGGGCTCTAATCCCTGCTTGGCTTCCGGCTTGCTGTGTCACTGCTCCATGCCTCAGTTTCCCCATCTGGAAAATGGGGCTGACTCGCTGAGGGAGGCTGTGGGGCCAGTTGGGGTTGTGGGCAAGGCAGCTTCTTCACCAGGAGACTGGCATTTAGTAAACTGTCCCAGAAGTCACCATGTCCCCATCATGCCTTGTTTACTGGCAGCATGGTGGGGGGGTTGGTTGGGTCTAGTGAATGGGCCAAGACGACCTCACTGATATGATGAAACTCAGCACATCCTCCCCATTGGCTCTGCCAAACGATGCCCACACCCAGCTCTGAGCCTTTCCATGGAGACAATTCCAACTTTGCTTTAAACACAGAGGGGCTTTGACAGGGAGAGACTTGGGGTTGTGAGTGCAGAGCAGGGACCCCAAATGTACCTTGACAGTACCAGTCCTAAATGGGGAAAGAGACCCAGGACGAGCTTCTACTAGTTCAATGGGTGGCTCTTTAAATGGCCGTGATTAACCCTTTGCAACCCTCAGAGCTTCCCCCTCCCTCCTCCTTCCTCCCGGATGGTGGAGCCTAGCCACTAACTGCGGCCACAGCAAATGTGAGCCCTGGATGTTCCCTGATTAGAAAGACCGGAGAGGGGGAGGGAGGAGGAAGTTCCTAAAAATATCGACTCCTGCCCTGTTCAGGGACCATGCATCTCCGGGCTGGACAGCAACTGGGCCCAGCTGTCCCTCGAGGCGTGCCTGGGAGGCGGCTGCCTCATTCCGAGACCAGCTCTGCCCTGACACGTCCTAACCGTTCTCCATGCATGGAAGGTCCTGACCTTGTCAGCAGCTTCCGGGGGAGCCCAGCCCAGAGCAGAGGGATGTCTTGGGCACTGTGATGACCCTCAGTCTCCCTGGCAAGGAGGTTTAGCAGCAGAATGGTTCAACCACCAACCTCCTGGCTCATCCAGTCCCAGTATCCTCCAATAGGAGGCAGTGTAGGAACTGGTGTCAAACTGGTTACTAAGCCCAATGGGCTCCTTCTGTCCAAGCCCACAGAAGAGTGTTTGGAGAGAGAAGGAGCCTGATAAAAGTTTCTATTTGAAGAGGAGCCACTAGGTTATGGGCTGACTCAGTAGGAGCAGGTGTGTTGGCCTGCTGCATGCGACATGCATGCAGAGCCAGGGGGTAGGAGCCTGCATGAGTGCACGCTCAGAGATGAAATGCACCCTGCAGTGTGTGCATGGCATTGGGGTTGTGACTGGTTCAGGTCCTTCGCTTACCAGATACAGACTTTTGAGCTCCCCTCACACCCTCCCCACAAGGGCTGGAGCTGTCTGTGCTGTCCCAGGGTCTCTGGAGATGGGGACAGGCTGACTTCCTCACAAGACGAAGCTGCTGTGGGTGCCCAATATGGGGAGGCGGGGGCACAGAGTGTTAACTTTGCAGGGGGGGTGGGCAATCTCTCACTCCAGTATTCAGTCAGACCAGAATGACAGCACCCCTTGAAGTGTAGGCCAAAGGGTGGTGAGGGCCTATACTGGGATCCCTTCTCTGGGCTCTGGATCCCAGCTCAGCAGTGGACGATCACTGTGCTCTCTGGCAGTTATAAGGAGGGGAGGGAGCCCAGCACCCCAGTTAGCAGGGACTGGATCCAGTCAGCCCCACATCCTCACTCTCTCCATGGTGACTAGTCCCTGTGTTCGTGCCTCTATTTCAGTCCCATGCCCCTAGGGATGATGTTGGCTGGGGTAGAGTGGGGAGCTACTCTGTGCTGATTTAGTTGCCTTGCTTAGCCTGGTTGGGAGCAGTGGAGCCCAGGAGTGTGTCCCCTGAAAGAATCAGATGCCCAGGACTAGTAGCCCTCCCAAATATACTGATGCAGAGGCAGAGCCTACCCCATTCCCAGCCTTCTTGGGACAGACACTTAAGCACGTAAGATTGCGGGGCATAAATTAGGAGCAGATCTCCTGGTCTCACTGGAGAAGCAGTTCAGCCCCAGATTATTCCACTACCTCCATATTTGTCACATCCTGCTAGAGCTCAGCACCCCAGCCTGGCTGCCAGCTCTAAATAAGCATCTGCCTCCATCTTCCTTATAGTGAGCCTTGCAGCAAGCGTGACTGCACACGCCTCACTCTTTCCCTCAGTACAGGGCACTGACAGTCAGCCCAGGGGGTCACCCCATATACATGCACCTTCCCTCCCAGGGGGGCCTCCACCTGCTTCCCTCCTCTCTGCCTTGATTAAGCTACTGACTCCTCTGTGCTGATCCGTGGGGGGGTGCCAGCAATAAGCAGGCTGTTATCTGGGGGTGCCTCCCTCTCCCAGTCCCTCCCAGGGCCAGGGCAATGTGGGTTTTCCAGCAGCCACTGCAATCAAGCCCCTTAGATCTGGTGTCATCCTGCCTTGCCTGCTGCACCCCTCCCTGTTTCCATTGGGGTGAACTGACATGCCTGGCATTGTAATTAGCTCTCCTAGTAATTAGAGGCTGGCTGTGGCACTGCATGGAGCCAGATTGGTTGTGAACCTGGCAAGGATATTAAAGCCCTGAAGCAGCCAATTGATTGGTGCTTGTATCAGATGATCTGGCAGCACTGTTTGCTGCCAGAGGCCTGGATGGCATATTTGGCTGAGTTTTAGAGAGCGATCTCTGCCTGCTTTTAGCCCTGTCTCCCTTCTCCCCACACTCTGAGCGAGTTCACAGGAGCTACCAGTGTTGCCTGCTCAGCCATGCAGGTTGTCTCAGAGGGAAGAGGATCCTACAGGCAGGCCTTAAGAGAGAGAGATATCCTCTGGGGACCATGGTTCAGGCCTGCTATAGAGATTTACCTAGCAGAATAGATGCTCTCAGACCAGCAGGCTCTTTTGGCCTCCTGCTCTGTTCCCAGTGGAGACTGGCAGACAATACTGGACAGACATCTTCCTGTCCTTTGTGTTGTGATACTCAGCCATAAGAGGAGGGGTTCCTCCCTGCCCTTGCTCAAAGGATGCTCTGAACTGTGAGTGTGGATGACACTTGCCTGTCTCCTGTAGCTTGCATTGCTGCCCTTTCCCATATATGCCTCCAGTGTGGTCACAGAAATAGCTTATGGTCTGTAAATTGGAGCAGGACTCCTGGGTTTTGTTTCCAGATCTCCTGCTTGGGTGGCTTTGGGTAAACCATGCTGCTATGCCTCAGTTTGCCTCGTCTGTACCCTGGGATTTAGGACACTGACTTGCCTCCTAGGTGGTGGTGGGAGGACCATCAGACTAAAAAAGGCCTCTTGGGCTCTAGAATCTAGTGTCTTTCCACTTATTCAAGGAATCTCCAGCATCACCACTTCAAACCCTCGCCCACAACTACAAGACACAATACTCGAAACACTGCCAGCATCCTATAACGTGCCACAGAAAATAGATAGCACAGAGACAGGGGTACTGCCAATGCCCTGCCACTGCAAGTAGTTGGATAATATATGCTCAGGAGCTCCTAGGAAAAGGACCATGTCCCATGCTACAGAGGAAGGCAAAATACCTCAGTCTGTGCCAAGCTGACCTGAGAGAAAAATTCCTTCCCAGCCCATAATGAGGTGATGGGTCTGACTTTGGGCTTGAAGATTCAGTCATGCTTATCAGAACACTTCAAGAGTCTTCAGCATCCTTCCTCGAGGAGTTCCACGAGTTATTTATCCTCTGCAGCCAGTGCCTGCTTCCCCCTGCCTGTGAGGCCCCATGCACTCACTAACCAGGCCCCCTTCTCTCCCCCAGGGGAAATACGGCAAGCGGAAGAGTCGTTTCAAACGCTCGGATGGCAGCACCTCCTCGGACACAACTTCCAACAGCTTCGTGAGACAGGTACAAGCAGTGGGCAGGGGTTTGACTAGCTTTGGTGTCCCTTTTCTGAGCAGCAGTGGCATTGAGCCCCAGGGGTACTTGTGTGAAAGGTTCTCTCCAGGGGACTTGACAAGTTTTTCATCCTTGATCTGGCAGCAGGTGGTGATGGCAGGTTGCTGGAATACAGCAGCAGCAGGCAAGGGGGTCAGCTCACCCCTGGCTGGCCATCCCTCCTATCTAGTCCCAGTTCAAGGAGTTACTGCTTAGCAGGGCTTTGGTTCCTGCTCAGACCCATCCCATTGTGTCTCCAAACTCTCATGTTTTGCAAAGACCAGAGCCTGGACCCCTTAGTGTTAAAGCAACAAGAAAAGACCAAAGTGAAGTGTCCATAGGAGAGGGTGTGGGGTGTGTGACACCCTTTGCAACCCTGAGACCAAACCCAGTGCCCATCTCTGCCCGTGCAGTACTGTTACAAATTTTAAAGCTGCAGGACGCTGAATCCAAAATGTCCCTTCTGAGACTCTGCAGTTTGGGTTTAAATGATTGGGGTACTTCAAGGGCAAAAATGACTTCTTGGCAACCAGTCCATATATAGTCTCCTTTGGGTGCGAGTGGTGTGAGCACAGAACTGGAGTCCTGTGAGCCCTGTCTCGTGGGAATCGGTGTAGCTGGGTGGCGATGTCGTTCCCTGGCCATCATTGGGGGCACAACACGGGCAAGACCTCATCTGCTTTGGTTCTGTGGCCCCAGGGAAAGCCTCAAGCCAACTCCTTCCAGCCTGCATCTGGGAGCAGGGAAAGGTTGCAAGAGCTTCAGGAGGGCAGGGGTCAAAGCTTGAAGGCCTCTTTTTATTCTGGATCCACTCTGAGCTTTGTTGTTGCCCATGGCAACACTGCTTAGTTGTAACCACGTCACTGCCATGGATGTGGGTTGCTCCATGCAGTGGTGCATGGTGGTAGGGCGAGTTGGACTTGGTGTGTGTGTGGGGGGGTGCTGGGGTTGGTGGTGCTGGCAGGGGCATTGCTGGAGCCTCTCTCAGCAGCACAGCACAGCTCTGCCGTGGCTTCTTGGGGCTATTTCTCCTATTGGGTTGTTTCAGCTCTGTCAGCAATCCTGCCCCATCCCCAAAAGCTGAGGTCTCCTTGCCCAGCCAGTGCCCCTTGCTGGGAGAGGCCAGAGTAGAGCAGCACTGGTCTTTCTGCTCCCCCCCACCAACTTCTTCAGAGCCGTTGCTCCTCCCCTCTGCGGGGTCTTGCTGAGCGAAGGAGGGAGCCAATTATTAATCCAGCAATGTAGCAGCTTGACTCAGCAGGGCTGGAGCTGACAGCTGGGTAGAGCCTGCAGCAGCACCCCGCTCCCACCCACCACCACTGCTACCATGCCTGCCTCGCCTCTTCCCTTCGCAGGCACATGCATGTGCTCAGGGACAGTGTCGGGCAGCAGCCCCTCTCCCCCACCCCATTTTAGTTGCCTCGGCTCCAAGCCCCCAAGGTGAAGCGGCCTAAAAAATATCTCCTCGGCCTTCCCGGGAGTGGGGAGTGCAACAGTCACCATAGCAACCCTCCCTTCCTCCCTTCCACGGGGATGGCCAGCCTGGAATAGCATGTTAAATGATGAAACAGCTGAGTCCCGGCCTGCGCTGGCTTGGGGGGCCCGCTGGGGGGCAGAGGGACAGAATGAGGGACATGGCTCGCCCCTGTCTATTTAGAGCCAAACGCCTGTGTCTCGTGTGCTGGGGGAGTCCCTGGGGACCCTGCTCTGACTTCTAACCCCCCCCCCCCCC